ATCTTCAGAAACATTCCACCTTTCTACCTTTCCTGGTTTGTCTCTGATTCAAGCTATTTTCTGTATCGCTTAAGAGCCTCCTATACGATTGTTACAAAAATCCCAAAGAATTTCATAATGCACTTCCACCACTCGCGTGTCAATGACTGCAAGTGGCATTGAATCAGCCTCCTCCATCTGAACGATATTGAGAGTTCCACATTAGTAGCCATGCATATTGCAAAGAAACCTTCTTATGCAACTAATTAATAACAGGTTATGTGAATTTGATATATTATTCCTACCTTAAAAATTTCTGAATTTTGGCGCCAATAATTTTGGGACACTCTGTACCTTTACGGCTTATTCGCGGTTGACAAGACTTCTGATCTCACTGTTCTGATAAAGCTTTATTGAGCCTATGTTCTCCCGGTTATTGAATACTGTAGCCAAATATGGAGCGAACCAAGGACATAAAAGTCGAGAATGACCCTCGTCTCGGTCAACCGATTGTGATATCATGAATTATCTTGGTACTTTATGCCTGTACAAGAGCGTTACTCGAGTTTGAGAATCAGGGCAAGAATCGAACTGATTTTGTGCTGAATTTATCATTCCACTCACCCTGTCTATGTTATCTCAATGCCCAATGTTCTCCAGCGGTTTCTCCGTGAAATGATGCAAATGAACAAAGAGCTGGAAAATAAGCCGGCCAATTGAAAGGCTTTCCACATAGTGGACACACATCCTCAATACACGCACACAAGTATACTTGTATACTTGTGTGCGTGTATTGAGAATCTCAACAAGCACGCAGTCCGTCTCGAAGCAACAGTATCTGCAACAGAATCAGACTGTTAAGCCTAAGGATGACGCGGACGCAGTCTAAACACATTGCACAACACAGTGCATCTTCCATTAATGAGTTCGCAGCGTAAGTTCAGCCTATTCGAAACCGCATATAAAAAGGCCATTGGTGGCGCTGTACTAAAACCAGATTAGCCAAACCATAGCCGCTGAGATTGAAGCGACCCTGAATTCCCGCCCTATTACCCCTTCCTGGGGAGGGACGTGATCGCGTACGTCCTGAGACCTATAGACTTCATATCGCTGGCCCTCAGCACCCACTACCGCTCTACCGTCGCAGGTAGATTTCGTTTAGGACGCTTCCAACAATCTCGCAGAGTTATACAAGGACATGCTAGTACTTCTTCACCAATATTGGGAAGTGTAGCACAATAACTACGTATCCACATTGCGGGAGCGCGAACAAACCCGCGCACGTATAGGCGAATATCTTAATCCATTGGCGACCGCGTGTATCAAGGGTGTCAGGCGGCCGGGATCGAGCGCGCCTTTCGCGGGCTATTGTTGTGGCGGCGGGCCACGCGGTCCCAGTAGCAACATTAATTCTAACACCCCTGTCCTTTGAGGTGAAGTTCCATTAAAATGTCACTGATTAAGTAATAAGTCATCCACAAAACGTACGTGCTACGTTGTAGGAGACTTATCACTTCTTCCGTGATAGTTTAATCAAATTTAATCAAATTTTATCTCAAAGAATGGGTGCGAAAATCAACATCCATTGTTACTTTGTTAGGTCCTACATGTAAGAGGGAACAGCTAAGCGCATTTCTGAACCTTCGTGGCTTTTGAGATAAAGATCCAACAAAACATCATAAAACATTTTCCGGACATGGAAGATTAGTTTTATCCTCAAATCTTCGATGAATTGATTAGAGGCAGATAGCATTGTTGTGACAAACCTTGTAAGACCCTTACTTCAAAGTGTTTTCGGCTAGCATTCCTCCCCAAAACAGTTTACAAATTGGAATGAAAGTCCGAAAGGGAGCAGGAGAAGATGCACTGGTAGCTACATAGAATATCCGGAGAAAAAGGTCGTGCTTATAAACCATGTCAAAAGAGTTTGGAACAAATGTTCCAAACGCCATAATTTTCTAAAGTGTTTTCCCAAACTATTGGGTTGTCCGAAAAGTTTCCGCCGATTTTCGACACCCCGGATTTATCAACCGTTGTACAAAAGATCAAGGACCCAACTTAATAGTTATATGTTTTTTGAAAGAGTAGGTCCTCCTCTACATTCCTGTTGGAATTCTGTCAACATTTGTCGGAGTTCGTCTCAGGACTCGTATGAAAATGGAGGACCACTGCGCGCATTTTCGACACCTGAAGTATTTCTTCTACCGCAAGGGCCTAGAGTGCGGCTCAAGCCGCAAGAAAGGTATATAACGTTTGAGTAGACCATACCCTAGAGGAATGTACAGTGCATGACTAGTTTGCGGAATCCAAACAGAGTGAATTTGTCTTCGAAGATCGGCTACCCCCAGAGAGACTATCATCAGTTTAAACGACCAACTAAAATGTTAACCGAAGCGAATCGGCACATCACTGCTCGTGGAGTAGGATAAGGGCTTAGTGTTTCGAAATTAACCATCCGTAGTCATCTGCAGACGCTTGGTTTTGTAAAGCGCCTTGATGTTTAGATATCTCGCGAAAGGAGCGAGCGCAATGCGATGGATCGCGCCTCCATGTGCGACTCGTTGCTCGAACGAAATAAAAATGAGCCGTTTCTGAAACGCATGGGCACGAGAGAAGAAAATGAGATTGTGTACAGCAATGAGCAGCGGAAACGATCGTGAAGCCCCTGGTGAGCCGTCAGAAACCGCTGCAAAAGTCAAGATCCAGGTGCGGATGACTATGCCGAGTTGCTGATGGGATTTCAGGGAAATCACTTACCATAAGCTGTTGTCGCCCAATCAAAAGATGACTTAGGAAAGGTACTATAGTTAGCTAGAAAATGTGGAGGCAGCGATAGACCAAAAGCGACCCGAAGTGGCCAATTGTGAGGGCGTAACCTTCCAACAAGGTACCTCCAGACCACACGTATTTTTGGCCACTCGTCAAAAGTTGCTAATGCTCGGGTGGGATGTCTCACCACACCCCCCATATAGTCCAGACAGAGCACCATCAGAATACCACTTGTTTGGGTTTCTGCAAAATTCTTTGAATGGAAAATCGTTCAATTCGCTGGAGGACTGCAAAAAGCACCTGAAAGAGTTCTTCGATTTTAAGTCTGGAACCTTCTATGGAAGAGGGCAACTGGAAACCAAAGGAAGATGGCGACTCTTTACTAAACAGAATGGAGGATGTAGTGTTCAGGCAATGGATTTCTTCTTCTAGGAATTTTCATTCAAAGATGAATCAAAAATCGGCGGGAACTTTTCGGACAACCCAATATTACAAATAGTATGTGTGAATGACCACCTGATTACGCTTGATTTTGCTTCTTTTAACACTGACCTTACGTAAACTTTTGTCTTCTATTATAACGTTGGGAGTAAGTGATCCTTGGCCCACAACGCCCCAAGTTTCCCCGGAGGCTGTGAGTCTAGCTTATATTTGAAGGCGCCAAAAAATATAAAAAGGTTCAATAAATAAAGTAAACACTACCGTGGCCCGCTGGCGGGCTACTCAATGGGTTAACTTGCCATCGCAGACCGGGAGCGTTGTGATGACAATGTCTCCGGTCTGCGGTGCTAAGTTCGATGAAAAGTGGAGTGGATGAAAAGCTCCCAAGAGGATCATGGCCGTATGGCCTCAACCAAAAAGTACATCGGGGTAAAGATAACTGAGAAGTGCTGACGTACTCATGTCAGGCGGCAAACAGCTTAAAACATGGTTGACTCCACTACTGTATCCGCTGAAGATTGGCGCCACCATCAGTTCGCTGTAGCCAGAAGCTCCACCTACAACACCGCTGCCCCAGCGAAATGTTTTTGGGAAATGTTTAGGAAAAAACGGCCATGGTCTGAGGCCATCAGATACCACCCTCAAACAGGTTAGGTAGCTAGGCCCAGTAGGGAGTCGACTATTAACTAAGATGTACATATGACTTACAGCTGGTTGTCGCAGTAAGTGAGGACGGTTTTGGTTTCGTTGTTTTTTTTTATCCTCGCCGCCCCAGTCTCTCACACACGACCCCTTAAAGGATCAAGGGTGTCCGCGCGAGTGTAGACGTGCTCGGCCTATGCAACAACAGAGAATAGGTCTGCCGCTTTCGAGTTGGCCGTTAGTGTCCCGTCGCTCGTAGCGGAGTCCGTTCGTTCCACCCGAGCACCGAGGTCGAGGAAGAAGATGCAATGAGTAGCGATCGACCCGGGAATGGGAACCCGAAGCCGCTGTATGGAATCGAGCCACGTCGCCCCGTTGTGAAGCTTCTGGCTCGACCCCTGTGATATGTAGGTCGTTTAGTTGCTATCCTAGTATATTTGATTGTCCTTATTTTATATGTCGTATTTGTCAAAAGCCAGCGTTAATATTGTGTTAGGTAAGCAAAATCATTAAAAGTTCTGGATTTCTTAGAATAGAAATGCAAGAATGCATTTTGCTCGAGAATGCGTCGATTCCATGAGTACAAGTTCTTAGTGGCCCCGGCGAAAGCGCTGGATCAACGCCAGCGAGAAGACGAAGAAGAATAGTGACCGTTCACCATCTGGCGATTCCAGGGGAAGGATACTTCGTCACGGTGGTCATTTAAGATGAGATGTATGCCACTGTAGGTGGTTTCGACCGCTGATCTCAAAACTGTGCTCCAAATCTGCTAAATGATTTTGGGAACAAGGTTACGGGACCAATGCCTCCCTGTGTATACAACTGTACCGAACGGGTCACTGAGCCGAAAAAACCGCAACTGTGCCGCGGTGGCGCCGTTGATAGGACGGTGTACTGGTAGGCATGACATCAGAGTTTGGTTTCGTGATGCATGCGCTTGTTTTGCTTTTCCAGGAAATGCATCCTAAACGCTTGCAAAACGTTTTTGGGCTTAATGTTGGTTATCTACGGAGCTCCCTCACAATTTAGGAACTCTGAAAAGTTATAACAAAGAAAGGTTTTTCTGCAACTCAATGGTCCAGTAGAGGTCGAGCTATATTCGAGCAAAAGAGGGATTCCAAATATCATCTACTAATGGGCTTGAGAGACTTCAAGGAGAAAGGTTCTAAATGATTCTGAATGATTCATTGGATCGAACGCGTTTCAACATGTTACCAGGAGGCGGTAATAAAGCTTTGGACCGTACTTGTCGATGCTATGGAAAGAAGCCCGTTGTCCTTTGCGAGGAAGTCGAGTTCGTGGAATGCGACCACAACGATCCTGCGCGGTCTCCTGAAGATGACAGCGACTATGGACCCGTAACCTCGCGAAAGAAACCTCGTACGTCTGTGGGGATATAGAGGTTCCGAAGTGAAACCTAACCTTCAGCTTTGTGATCTATCCCATGAGCTCTAATTTTATCACGCTGCTAGAAGAGTCCATAACTTCTAGTTCAAGAGTCAGGAGAAGCCACACTTCCTCCTACATGAAAAAAACGTTTCGTATCATCACAACGGAGTGTCACCTACGAAAATAATGGAAATGCGAGAGACCATAAGCTTTCGAATTAGTCTATTATCGACCATTTACGATGTCATATGGGGTTGTAACTATCACGTGCAAACTATTGGAAGGATAGGTTATCATAAAATTAATATGAAAGACTCATCGCACGACAGTCCTTTTCACTGGATACTGCTTCAAATCAACAATGAATGCCCAGAGGGGACAACTTCAAAGCAAGTTCAAGGTGAATTCAGGATTTTGAGTACAGCCGTGATATCATGTCCCATCGCACCACAACATCTACCTCATGAAACCGCTTTTCGAAAGGGCGTTCAACTCAAGAATAGAATTAGCGGATAATCGTATGTGCACGCAAAGCAAAAATCTATGGCTCCACAGTATTTCTTCAACAATGTCAGTTAAGTTGTGCCACCGCTTCGGAAGTGCGGGCAATACTCCTAGAAAGTGTGGACCGTATCCCTCTCAAAGAGAGCTGAGCTCGGATGAGTTATTCGACCACCTCCTACCTTGAATACAGGGAGATACCGAAAAGTTCGAGATATGATGCTGGCTGTTCGGGGTAGAGGCGTATCTACTTGGTCTATAGTGTTGAAATTTTTATTGGATTACTACTCCCCGGTATCCTAAATTGTGAGGAAGCCCCGTAGATGTCCAACTTTGAACCCGAAAACGTTTTGCAAGCGTTCAGTAGGCATTTCATGGAAAAGCAAAACGAGTACATGCATCAAGGAATCGAACCTTGATGTCATGCCTACCAGTCCATCACCTTACCAGCTGCGCCGTTGCACAACTTCGACTCGCTTATCCGTTCGGGTGGTATAACAGCGAGAGGCATTGGTCCCATAACATTGTTCCCATAATCGTTTGCAGATTTGGAGCGTAGATTTGAAATCAGAGAATGGCCACTGCGACCAAGTATCCTTCCCCAGAAGCACAAATGCCTCGGAAGCGTAGTCTTCTCGATAGAGGCTTGAACTTGATGATTTTAGAAGACGATACTTCGAAGAAAGGTACATGAAGGTGCTACTCATCCAGGATATACAGAGAACGTGATCGCAGTCATTTGTCTACTAACTTTCTGAATTCGTTGTCAATCAAGTGATGCCTGGTTTAGCGATATCATATTACAGAATATCTCCGTTCAACATCATCTTACAATGTCGAAAAGTTGGTCCTGATCTCTGCACGACAGATAAGCGTACGCCTTTTGTCTATCCCAGGATTCCATTGACCACAGATCTCACCGGAAACTAAACAGGCTTCGAAAGAGGATGAAGCTGTCGATGACAGTGATCAAATTTTGAGTGAACATGTTTGCATCCGACTAGCAATAGTCTGGAAATAGGCGCTTTTCCACTTTGGCACTACCCAGGAAAAATACAGCAAGTCCGTCGCACTCTTCATTTAGGTAGTCGATTCCCGAGTCCCTCTCAACGTTAACTAGAAGAGTGATTCATTCCCAGGTGATTACGTTCCTAAGGTTTCGCTTCCGGAACTTGACGAATTATCTTTCCACATCAAGATGCGAAATCTATCACGATTTAGATGAGGTTAGGCTCTTACACGGAACCCTGAAGCAACAGCAACATTGACCAGACAAACCTATGATTGTAGTTAAACAAATTATGGGACCATTCATCTCGGGGCTCATAAGTTCATCGCAAAATAGCTGCTAACTATTTCAAAAAGCGCCAGTCGAAAAAATATTCAGACACACAGGATTTCCAATTACTCCTCAATGCTATATCATGATTCTCGATTCGAGACTCCAAAACCATCATTTGTTTTACTATATGTAGAATAACTCAGAAGGGCTTCACAGGATAACCTTACCCGAACTTCAAAGTCTTAATTCTACACCATGCATGACACTTCCTTTTATACTGTACCTTTGAGTTGAGCCAAAAGAGAAAATACATTTTGGGCATCCTCACCTTTCAATTGTTTTAGAAGCTTTTTGAAACTGCACAACGAAGTGAACCACACAGAAAACCTAATGGGGTAATGGAGTGAACACGGTCAGCATTGATGTGTTCGCGATCTTCTCTAATTAATATATTGGAGTCAGATATTGCAAAATGCGACTGATCGGAGCCATCGCGAAATCAACGTTGAAATCATAAGAGGAAAAAAGAGGGATGAGCTGAAAAAGAGATCGGAGAAAAAATTGAAAAAAATTGCGACTTCCTCGTTTCGTGATCTCCACTACATTCTCCGTTTAATTCCCTGAGGACTTTCAAACTGACTGTTGGAACTAGGAATCTGTATGATAACGCGACCATTTAATTATAAGATCACATTTTGCTCTATAGTAGTATGGATTTACATTCTCATTTGCGATTGCTGCCATCCGTTTCATTAGACAATGAATTTTTTTCAACTTTTCGAGACATTTCACAGAACGTATACGCAACGGTAGCTTCTGAAAAGTATTCACATAACAAGTACATTAGAATTTCTTCGGAAACGATCACTTACTACCCTCCACTCATAGGACTTCACGGTTTCTAACTCAAGCAGAAGTTTTTGTCTGCAAGTTTGAACATCAAATTCTAGCCCTGTCGAACGATTCACATTATCCTTGAAGCAAGCCTGCAAATATAAGAGTGACTGCACATTTGAGAAAAACATTTCTCCTAGTATCATTTGAAGTTTATTAAGGGCCCCATAATATAAGATCTGTAAAAAGTACACCAAGCTTCACGCATTTCGCCATGGACATCGATTCCTGTTAAGAGCTTAAAACCCGGATCGGACCCTGACCCTCGTCATAGAGATTAATCTTGAACACAACAATGAATATCTTCGTCTTCTACGCGTCATCTATCTATGACGGTAAGTCGGAACCATTCAATATGAACGCCACGGGACAAGTTATTCCCTATACGAGGTCATCGCATATGGCTTCACCACCAGTACTTCTCCAAAACGACGGCTGAAGAAATTGCAATGAAATGAATCAAGACCGTTTGAATAGAAAAAAGGTGTCTCAGAAGTTCCTCGATAAATACTCTCAATTTTCTCCTATTCGCTTTACATAGGCCCTATAATGAAAAATTCGAAAACCCGCGGCTTACATTTTCCAGTAGCTCCTGCTTTCTTTCAGTAGCATTCAGAATATCGATAGTGTGCATCTCGTTGTTGAATTGAGCGACAATTAGTGGTTTGCAGGTAATCTTTTCACCATCCATCCGCCCATTACTTACCTGAGAGGTTCTGGAACACTACAAAATTCATACACAATATTAATCAGTGCAAGCGCACTCCTGTGTCATAGTTTATCTCTGGGCATGAGAGCTCGATAGAAGCGTTTCTTGTAATCAATGTCTACAAGTACAGTGATTATGCTCCGCGAAAAGCGGATGAAAAGTGCAAAGCACACACGAAGAGATGCAACGCTTTCGCAGCAAAAGACGTGCCAGTTAAAAAGAATTTATGCGAAAAATGCAAATACGTGGAATGGGAGCAGTGCACCGTCGCCGCCCCTTTGTTGAAAGAGGTTTGATCTGCTGGCGCACTGTGCAGTTTAAAGCTTCGGCAATGCGACTGCGATTGCGCATCCTGACCTGTAGCGCTAATCATGCATGTCCCTCAAGTTAAGTCCGTCTCCGGACAGATTACCTGTTGAGAATGTGAAGAGCTGCGATTGAATATGATCCTAGTTTTGTTATCTCGAAGCCCACATAATGTTACTACGTTATGATTGATCCATTCCAATTTGTAAACCATGAAGGGGTCAAAGTTAACCGCTGGTTTTATTCAGCACCAGTCGGGTCGCTCGGCTGACTGGATCTTTTCAGACGCCACCAATCGAACATTAACATCGCACACCTTTTTTTGAAATAAACAGACATTTCAATCATTCATTAATATGACTGATTGAGATACCAAGATATTTCCAAGAAATCTGCGTGCCGCCGTGGATGAGTAGCAAAAGCAGTTTTGAACTATTATTAGTACAGGAGACGGGTATATTAGATGACCGTGCATTCATTTTGTAGACGCGATGCATAGTAAATAGTTTACATAAATTCACCATGTATCAAGTTCACGATTTCTGCACGACGATCATTTTGTTACCATATTTACGGCGCACCCGTAAATAGGTAACAAAATAATCGTTAGTTTAGTCTAAAGCCGTGGTATGCTAAACCAGAGCGCAAGTTGCCCATTCTTGGTCAACCGCTCAAAACCTGACCTCGTTGCTTATTAGGCATTCTATAGCTATAATCCTGTTTCGATGCATTGTTCCAATAGGGGAGTAAAAAATTAACCCTACACTCTCACTTTTCAGAGTTGGATCTAAGGCATGGTCGCAACTTCGTGATCGGTGGATTACGGTGGATCATTCTCCTCGACCACGGACGAAGGGGACTTGTCTCTGCACAGGGAACCACTCGCTGATACCTGAAGGAGTAGCTTACCTCATTCGCTGAGATACTTTCTACTAAGACAGATTTGCTTGCAAACATATTGACACAGCGAGTTATTATAGAATGCTCAACCCGAAAGTGGAACAGCTCTCAAGAAGAACGCAGACATGATCTAATTGTGTATTCTGCCCGGTAAACGACAACAAAGTTTAACACACAACTAGGAGATATAGCCGTTATTCAGACGCTGTATCGCGCGCTGTCTGAGCCAGTAACCTTGGAATGTGCAAATGATACCTAAAACCAGCACATAATGAGGAAATGTAATATCTGCACTCACTGCAAAAAAGGCCAAACGTCTTTCTGCGTTCCATTAAGTTATCTCATGACCGACCACTTCGGCAAAAAAGGAACTTTTAGCCTTCCCTGAAGGCGAAGTGCGCACTAGTGATTCCTTGGATCCAGTATCTCCTCCCCGAACACGGCGTCGCGCTCGCCGCACCCGCCGCGTATCGCAGAATTGCGGCGGAAGATTGAAGCGCGCAAATTGTTAGTTAGGGAGTCCTTTAATTATTTGAACTCGTTGGCCACTCCCTTCAATTCCAATGTATTCTTGATTGTCGATAATATAGGAGAATTCATCAAAAATAATCAAGTCTATTAAACATAAAAACGAAAAAGAACGATAAGAAACAATCAAAACCATTTAAAAAAGGCAGTCAATGGAAAATATCGTGTCCTATCGATCGGCGTGGAGGCGGGCTGAGTACGGTAATAGTAGTTTGGAGCCGCGAGACAACTAAAAAAAGATTTGCCGCATGCCGCAAAACGAACGTGGGAAATCGGGGAGATGTTCCGTTACAAGTGATTCGTCCATAACTAGCGCACTATCTCCATCGCCACTACAGTCCACAAGTATTCTACCCACTACAACCGCCCATCAACGTCTTTCGGCCGATATTCTCTTCGATACACCCCCACCTCAGCATATTCTCGGCATATTCTCCTCTGCCATAGTATTGCCTACGTGGACCACTATTCTGTACGTCACCGATTTCTGCTGTATGCTACAATATTCGCTTCTTCTGCGGAACCGCACGGCTACTGGTACCAGTAAAATCTCTGCGGTTCGTGGTTTCGATGGTAATTTCAGTCGAGATCTGTGGCAGTGCATTCAAGTCAGTCCAGCGTTTCGCATCTAGCCAGATATAATATATGTTCGTTTTCTTGCTTTGGTAGGATTCGTGATAGACTGTTGGTATTTCAGTAGTTATGTTGTGGTTTTCTCCGCGCGGCCGAGTGTCGTGGCGAGAAACTTTCCTGAATTTCCTATTTCTCATAGTTCGCCTACTGTACTTATGTCTTCGGGCAGACATTCCATGAATTCGCTTCGTTGTCATTCCGGCACATGCACACTTCTTGTTTGACCAGCTGTGAATACCGTAATATCTCTCATGTTAATTCACGTATATAACACCAGGAAAGTGTTATATCAAGCTTTTGGCATAATAAAAAGATCGGCCGGGACACAATGGATGCTGTGACAGCACGAATTATCGCAAAACCTTGACAACAGATAAGTGTTGATGCGTTCCAGTCGAGTTGGTTGTTATAAAGAGAAAAACAAACTGCAAACATCTAGCGCCTCACTACGACCGCTTAAAGAGTGTGAAACCCAATTAGCTGCAGGTATAATTATTTTCGTCGATCCATCTTTTCTTTTTCCACTTCAAACAGAAAGAAATCATTTTATAAGCGAAGTTCAAAACAACAGAGATGATAGAAAGGGCTGACGACGTACCTTTGCTTTAATATGTAATCTGAATCTGAGCAAAGAACAAGGTTGCAAGAATAAAGGAGAGCACTTCTTGATTTACGAAGATCAGCGAAACTGTTAATGAGCCTTCCCAATAAAGCGACGCAGAAAATATCAAGTTCTTCCTTGAAAATAAAATAATTCACTTAATTCATTAATTAGAAATTCACATAATTCATTCATTAGAATCTCTGCCAGCTATGGGAATTGTGTGAATATGTTGGGTCACCGATAATACAGGGACGGGTTGGTCTCAGCTAGTCGAGCCTCGTTTGTAAAGATTGGCTGCAAGACTCGTTCCAATCAAGGGGATGCATAATCGCATGCCATGAAAAAGCGCTTGGAACATGGAAAATCAAATGTAACAAGTAAGCATTCCACGAGAAGTGGCGTCATTCTGGGGCAAGGGAATGAGCAAAAAGTAAAAAAGAGTATCCAGTTGATATACGAAAAAGAGCGAACCACAACAAGCGTGTTGGTCGCCTTAGAACAATGAAATAGTAGCATTAGACGTCAAGTTAAGGAAAACGGATCGGCTCCGATATCGATACCATTCTCTGAATAAGTGCGCTGATTGCACCATTATGCTGCGCGGAAATGTCCTAAGCGCCTTTACCAGGTTAACGCAATTTACTGTGAAACAATTTCTACTTCACTTCTCGCCTCCTATTTGGAGAAATTCTTCTCTACGTCCTTAATGAGCACAAATCACGTAAGTTTACTTTGCAACCTTCAGGAAACTCTACACACTACACAGCCGGTCATTCTAGGCGAGGCAAAATTATGTAAAATTATGTGTCGCATTATCCCTGAATAATAGGGAGCTCTTCGTACCTAGACCAACTTTTTTGTTTATATCCAATAGCTGTGAACCAACTGCTATCACAGGAGCTTGTTTTCATCAATAACGATGGAGCCACTGTTCTGCAGAATTCTATAATCGATTTGCGCCGGCAAAGATTCCGAACTTCTCTTAATGATTGATTGCATAGGAATCGATGTTTCAAACACTATTGCGAAATTCGCGGAGCAGGCGTCGCGTTCCGGTTACTTAGAGGTAGTCCTGCAAAGAACTTGGAACAAGATTGACGTCGAGCACCCCGTCACCACGGTCGATGCGTTTCTCGGTGGTCCTTAGGCCTGTGTCGAATTGGATGGGGATCGTTCGAAGCGGAGAGGTGGGCCTTACTTCGGGTTTTTCTAAAGAGTAAAACAATGCAAATTATCCTCTGTTTTCGCTAGGATCGAGCTTTTCGCGGAAGTTGTTTCCATAATTTAGCTCTACGCTGTCTAGACCAACTCACGGAAGGTATGTCAGCTGCATTTATGAGGATTATACGACTCAGAGGGTGTAGGTGATGTAGTGGCAAGTGGCGCACAACCACACAAGCATGACCACGAGTTCGAAAATCGGGTCGATATTCGATTACGTCAACCAATCCCTCCATCCCTCCGAAGTCGGTTGAACATTCGCGCTTTCGTTATGATTTGACACGTTGACGACGAGCCAATTTTTTCGTGCCTTTCCCGTGGGACGGAAGTTTCTTTCTTGGAAATTTGTTGTTCAAAATTTGTTATTTGTTATCTCAAAAAAAAAAGAGTGACTACGGTCAAAGGCATTTCGAAACAAACGGCACGAGAGAATATTTCGCAAACTTCCGAGCAATATTCAAATTTTGCCCAAGATTCGTGGCTACTCGGGGTAATTTCAAATTTGGCGGTGATAAATTTGAATTAGGGGTATATGAATAGGAACTCAGAGTATTATCATCCTTGCGATTATTTTGTCATCATGAGTACCCCGGATATCGAAATGGAAGACTTCAACGAAAGTTTCGACAACTGACTGCTCGAAAGCGACGATGATGCTGCAGGTGTTTGAGATGGCGACGATATGGCTCCTGCAGTTGTTCCTGATACCGGTAATTCCGATACTGAAATTTCAGATGATGATTACAATGAAGGAGCAGAAAACGTATGGGTTAACGGTGCTCGAAGGTACGATAGATGGACCTTAGAGCTTGTTGGAACCGATTCAGAGGTGGATAACTGCTAGACGCCTCTCCAACTTTATGAGCTGCTTTTCTCTGAAGAACTAGAAGTATGTGTCTTATCAGACTTGGGATCTTATCAGACCATCGTCTACGGACAGCAAAAACATCATAATTAGACGCCCACCGACACAGATGAACTGAGAAGATTCTTCGGCCTATGTTTACAGATGTCCCGCTGTCCATTTGATAATCAGCGCAACTACTGGTCGCTGAAAACTCGAAACTTGGCCAGAAACGGACATTCAATTTCAATCGCCGGAGATTCTATGACCAGAGATCGATTTGAAGAGATCCAAAAGCATCTCCACTTTGTCGACAACACTGCCGCTTTACAAGCTGCAGCCTGACCTCGATTACTTGAATAACCGTTTTCAGGCTTTGTATAGACTTGGGAGAGAACTGTGCACCGACGAGTCGATGGGGCCATTCAGAGATCGCGTCTCATTTCGGCAGTACAATGGAACAAAATGTAACCGATTTGGAATCAAACTCATCAAGCTCTCCTCTCGCGCTGGCTATACTCAGAAGGTCAAGGTTTACGCCGGAAAGGATCCAAAACGGACAACCAGTGAGGCAGAAGCTGTAGTAATGGAATTGATGGACGGTTTTCTTATGCAAGGACGTTGCGTCTGCACTGATAACTGGTACAGCAGTTTACCGCTTGCTCACAATCTACTCAAGAAGAAGACTGACATTGTTGGAACCCTCCGGAGAAATCTTAGAGGACATCAAGTCCCTCAAATCATCCGGGACAAAAAACTGCAGAGAGGAGAGTTCATTTATCAGCAGAACCTGAAAGGAGTACTAATTTTGAAGTGGAAAGACAAGAAAGTCACCCACACGATTTCTATGACACATGACACCAGCTTTCATCCGAACGGCATACCTTCGGTTGTAGCCGATTATAACATGATGAAGGGATTCGTTGACCTCAGCGACCAGATGGCGGCCTATACTCCGTTTGTGAGAGAGACAGCGAAATGGTATTTTTTTTCTTTTTTTCATCTCGTAACCCAGACTGCCTTAGTCAATGCCTGGTTCTTGTGTTGCGAGAAGACAAAGAAAATCAAGATAAACTACTTCAAAGAGCTAATTGTGGACGACTTACTGTACAAGAACTTCAACGACATGCCGACAAGCAGTTACAGAACACGCAAGCGAAAGCTGGTGGCTGATCCAGATGCGAAGGCTAAGGACAGACGCTCCGACTGCTATAGTTCGATCTCTGCAACATCAGGCAGGTCGACCGCGAGTAGCCTGGCCAAGAGGACTAAGTCAAAATGCAGTAAATGTAATAAATTTTGTTGCCTAGATTGTTTCCAAGCAATTTATGATTGTTTGTTGCTAATAAAAATGAAATATTGGTCTTGGAATTAATTTAACAGCTGGCCGGTGCTATTTTAGACAGTTATAAGCCTGAATCTGCTCAAAAAACGGAACGGGCAAACACATTTTATTGAAGATTGCACCGTCGCGCAGCATTGCGAGACATCGTCCCTTGAGACAGACTGGCTGTCGCGCACCATTGCACGAAATTGCCGTCAACTGTTAACCCATTGCGTACCGCAGTGTTTTGCGCAAGCTGCCGCATGTGCGGGACATATCCTTCAAAATCGGCGCGGGCAACGTTGTTCACAGCATGCAGCACTCAGCCACACAGAGCGGTTGTTTAAACGAATCGCAAAGTATGGGCTTTTCGTATCTATCAAAACTCTAGAGCGATTTCGGACAAAAATACGTGCGCGCAGAGGCAGAAGGGCGTGCTTCACCATGTGCAGCACGCGTACGCAATGGGTTAATGAAGATAATGTTTTGATTCTAATTTTTATCAAGTTCTTCAATTTTTTCAGATTCGTCTGGGAGGATAAGAGCACCATAGCCGCATCCCTCCTATGGCATTGATTGGCGCGCGAAGACATTCGTTATCCTTTACATGGCTTATTGTTCGGACAATGTACTTTGGGAAATTAAAAAGACGCGGCTCGACCAGCGGCTGTGGGGGTTCCTTAATACATATGATTCGCTTCCTTCTCGTTAATGACCTCTCCGAAAACGTCTTGAAAAAAATGGAATTCTAGATGGTCTTGCTGAAAACGGTTCTGAAAGCTCCATTGAGAAACGTTCTTGCTGTTGATGTTCATACAAGCTATCCACTTGCTTGTACTATAACAATGTTGCGGAAATTCTTGAAGGCACAGTTCACGATAATTTTGAGGTACCCGTTTTCATTCGAAAAGCGGAAGTATAGATTGGGAGTAGTTCATCGGCAGTGAAGAAAGCGAAAGAATTCGCCGATTTCGAAAAAAATATGGCTCCTCAAATGAAGTGAAAATAGAGGTTGGACGAGATTGCCATGACGGAAATAGCATGGAAGACCGACGAGATTTCGGTGACTGCGATTGCACAAATAGCTGACTACGTCAAGCCCGAACTGTACAGAACTGTCTTGCCCTGTCACTATGGGTCATGACAAGTTGTTTAGATTTCCTGCATGGTTCCCTTGTCATCGGTGCAGCCCTTACTATGCCGGTGAAACTCGTCCGAGGATACACACGGGCCACTATACCTCCCTAACTAGGCCGTTTTCCGACCTAATAGTGATAGATATGGTATACATGGGGCCATAAGTTCATCCTGTGGGGAAATCTCAGAAACCATTATTATCGTTAACTATGCCTTTGAGAAATCCTTTTCCTCACGTGAATAGCGAATCAGTGCATATAAAACTTTCGATTACCAGTGTTCATTTGCCAACCGTTTCGTGAAGCGACCACGAATATTGGAGTTCATGTGAACGACGGAGGCCGAATTCATTATTTTCTATTTGAGCTCATAATTTGTTACAACCAAAAGTCTTGAAGCCAGAAAAAAGTTCGTAGTAGTGAGCAAGGCCTAAGTATGCTATGCATGCGTGCGCACAACGAAGTTCCACTTTTATGGGAAGGATCCCAAGTCGAATTAGCCACCAAGTCGAAGTAGCCATTCGAAATGAGACCTACACTGCTGGATGTGTTTTTGAATGCTGAGT